CAGTTAGTTTCGTGGATTCTAGACTTGGAGTAGATGAAACATTAGTCTCCATTTACATAAGGAGTCAGGGTAGCTGTCGGCATAGTGACTAGGCTATGTATGGGCTAGGATGACTCGGGTTCAGTTGTAGGCAGGACAGGATTTTTCTCTTAGCCACAACATCCAGACCGATACTGGGGCCCACCCAACCTCCTATCTAGCAGGCACCAGGTTCTTTCCTTAGAGAAAATGTGGCCAAAGCATGAAGCTCACTACTCACCCGAGCTGAGGTTAAGAATATGTGATGTATACCTAAACACTTAGTCTACATTGTATGGTGGTTAGTTAAGTACCAGGGGCAACTTTACCTTATCATACCTTACCATTTATATAAGAACTTGGAGTATTGTCTTACAATTTGATCATAGTAACTCAAATTTTACTTTTATTTATTAATTCATTCTGGAAGGCAGTCCTCTACACTGTTTATTGTATTACTTACAATTAAATGTTGTCAGATTTGCAGTTTGAGTGTGCATCTGGTGACTGCATTGACAAGATCTTGCACTGTGATGGTTCTGCAGATTGTAAGGATGGTTCAGATGAAGAAGACTGTCATGAAGGTAAGAAGGTAAATTGCATTTTTAACAAGCTTAATTTTACAGCATAAAACAGGATCTGACGTTTTGGTTTCCTTACAGCAACATGTCTACCAGAGGAATTCAGGTGTGATATTGGTCAATGCATTCCAAAGAAGTGGTTATGTGATGGGCAGTCAGACTGTGCAGATGCTTCAGACGAACATAAATGTGGTATGTTACTCAGCATTATGTAAGTTATGAGGGAATTCATGTATACAGTGTAAGTAAAGAAACAAAACAGAATGAAGTTACTGACAACTTTATATTCATTCACTTACTGAATGGCGCAGGAATCTTCATATTAGTTTTAGATTATAATGGAGTGTTATGTTATGATTGAATTAAATATTAGCCACCTCCACACAAAAAAATATATATTTGTAAGCCTGTAATATTGATTTGTTGTGTGAAGATGGGTAATAATATTATTTATACTGCTAAGCAAAACATGCTTTGTATCACCACCATAATTCAGGAATAATCTTTTAGCATATACTGAATTTTGAGAAAATTATCTCCTATTTGGATACCTGTCATCTCTCAAGAAATCCAAGGTGGGCATCGAGTTTCAAGTTAATATTCTTGTGTATTTATTCCCACCTTTTGTGAGTTTTTGTCTTTTGGCTTTATTCGTGTTTATGAATTTTGTTTTCTACATACTATTCTTTTACGTCCCACGGATGGATGGTGTGGTTATGCCTTTTTATTCTGGGACTTTCACTTTTTAATTTGTCCGGAGATAGGGATTAGCTCTATCTAGTGGGCCCAACTGAGTAGGAACCTGAAGACAGAGATAGAGCCCCATCTCCGAAACGTCGTTTTAAGTTTTTTACGTTTTATTACTAGACGATGGATAATATCCAAGTAAATTTTTATTCATTTGAGAAAATTGTTTAACAAATAGGGGCTATTTACTTTTAGGAAACAGGGTAGTGTTAGTCTGAAGGAATGGAAGGAAAAAAATTAAAGCAAATGTAAAACTTTTATTCAAATTAGTAAATCATGAATAGGTTTCACTACTATCTTGTGTATGGAGTAAATGCTATACAGATCAAAAACTTGTACGGGCATGCCTTTGGAAGTTGAAATCCACCATCACTGTTATCATTTTCTATATCATTTACCTGAAAATGCTATTTAAATAGGATACATATATTATTTTGGATACCACTGCTGAATTTATTGTCCTCATTCACCTGTGATGTTGCATGAACACCTCCTTTGTAATTTGTGTACTTCAAAAATCCACCTTACAATTTTATTTCAGCTTCTGTTACATGTGGATCTAAGGCATTTACCTGTAGTAATGGTCGCTGCATAGACAAGCATCTTCTTTGTAATGGTGTGGATGACTGTGGAGACAGATCAGATGAAGAGCCCTGTAAAATCACAGATCTACACCTTCCCGTAACATCATGTTATCCTGGGGAATTAACATGCAGTGCATATGAAAATGTAACACTCTGTGTTCCTATAACAGCTAGGTAAGTCATGATCAGGTTTAGCACTTACGCTTCTGTGTATCTCAACTGATAGCGGAAACTGAAGATTCAACACTATGACCAACACCACAGCTTGGTACCAGGCTTTATCCTGAGACAGTTCCATATCTCACTCACTCGTGCATGATGAAATTTCCTGTATTACCTGCTTGTGAATGCTGTTCTGATAATGTCCAAATATTCTTCTGAGCATGTTATTTTTCAGCAATAATTCATGTATTTTCCTTAAAGTATATGTTTCACAGCCACACAAAGTAGTTAGAAATAACATTTGTGATCTCAAAGTGTTATAAGTATTATTAGTTTTGAACTGAATAATAAGCATTTCCTGAATTAATTTCATTATGAATCTTACATATATTTGCTGTTTTCCCAGATAAATTTTTAATTCTTACATTTTATGTGATATAGTTATAGGTTTGTTGCCAAGTTTGGTTTCATATCATGGTTAAACTACCATATTTTTCTCTCATATTGGTTAACTGCAAAATAATTTAATCAGTAGTAAATTCATTACAACAAAATTTGTTGCATTAATAACTTATTTTGTATACAAATGGCAGTATCTGGCTTAGAAGAATTTTGGCTAGAATTTTTTATGAAGCTGATAAGAGATTGCTTAGAAATCGCTTCAATCATCATAGTCATTGGACAGTGTGTTAACAAATCCAGTATTACGAGGTAACATCATCAGTGATAAGCACTACTACTTTGAATTGTTCATGGAATTGAAAACAATCCTTTCATTAGAATAAATATTAACTTAATGCAACAGAATGCAGGTTATACCAGTGTGTAAACTGTAATTGAAATGTTTCAGATGCAATGGTTCAGCTGAATGTCCATTGAAAGATGATGAGAAAGATTGTGAAACTTGTCTGGAATCTGAATTCCAGTGCTACAATGGAAAGTGCATTCAGGATGACTGGGTATGTGATGGAACAAATGACTGTGGTGATGATTCAGATGAGGACAATTGTCATACTCCACCAGTATCTGAAGGTAAACATCAGTGTACATTTATTATTTCAATTCATTTCAATTCATTTATTAAAGTGCTTGACAACAGCCTAAAAGGCCAATAACAGCCAAGCACTAACAACAATACAAATCTTACAATACTAAAGCAAACAAACAATGAACTGAATATATAAAGTACAATATTAATTTATTGCAAAATAATTAATAAGTAAATGAGCTAAATGTTATGGATAAGTAAATTAAAAATTAAATTAAAATCAGCTCAATTTTGGACAAACAACATACAAAATAAAATATTATACTAAATAAATAATAAAAAAGAACAATGATTATTGTTTAAAGAGCTGACTGACATCAGTAAGCAAAATAGGATCTTTGTTAATGATGTCGATGCTCCTACAGACTGCATTGGCAGCAGAAACACATCTGGCAGAGGGACTAGCCTTGAAATTACATTGTACAATAAAGGTAGAGTAGTCTCTGATAGACCTACTGGGTACACAGAGACTAACTGTATCAAAAACAGATGAGCAACTAATTTTGCCTTTAAAAACATTAACGAGGAAAAGCGCATCCAAAAGCTTCCTCCTTAAATGCAACGATAAAAAATTTAATCTGACTGATATATCATAATTATAGGCACATATGCCATTAAAGAATCTAGTGTAACATAGAGCTACAAATTTCCTTTGAATCCTTTCCAGTTTAAAGGAGTCAGTGTTAGTGATAGAGTTCCAAACAACGGATGCATACTCAATTTTAGAACGGACTAGGGTACTGTACAAAACCAAAAGGCTATCAATAGTGGAGAAGGAAGAAGTAATGAACCGAATCAAGCCAAGTATTTTTAGGCTTTGTGAGAATATGTAGTTAATGTGCTGATGAAAATAAAGCTTACAGTCCAATAGAACACTGAACAAATACCTTTATTTGTATGAGCAGTAGTTATTACAGCCATTTTATTACTACTATCACTACCAGTACTAGCTGGAGCTATTACAATACTATTAACTGATCGAAACTTAAACACATCTTTTTTTGATCCAGCAGGAGGGGGGATTATGAACCATATGATAATTTAAATGATACCTGTATGAATATTTAATTATTTTTAGGAACTTCTGGTCCATGTTTCGAGTATTCCTGCAATGATGGGGGATGTGTTTCAATGTCCTTTGTATGCAACAAACAAAAAAACTGCCATGATGGTTCAGATGAGGGTGGTCAATGTGGTATGTATGATTTATAATATAAATGACTATAAAAATGTATCAGTATTTTTCATGCAAAAATTTTAATGTAGCAACTAATATTACAAGTGGCACTTTTTAAACCTATAACTGCATGTTTGGTGATAAAAATGAAGATTTTGTTGTGTTTGTGAAGAAAATGGTAGTTTTGAATATTTTATCTGGCCCACCCATTAGAGATAACAGGTCACGTGAGTGTTTGATAAGCATTCTCCATTTACAATAGTATGTATAGTGTAATTTTGCATGAGTTTCTGAAAACAACAATGTAAAGAGAAAGGTGGTGGAAATATACCTGGCAATCTTGACAAAAATTAAATTTCCTTCAATTCATTGACTGCAGATTCATCATGTGGCAAAGGATCACCCTGTGAAGACATTTGCCATCCCACACCTCGAGGTCCAAAATGTAACTGTTCAATAGGATATGTGTTGCTGAGTGATGGAGCAAAGTGTGGAGATATAGATGAATGTGAGAGCCATGATGCATGTGCTCAGATGTGCACTAATACACGTGGCAGTTTCGTGTGTTCTTGTGATCCTGGTTTTCAGCTTCGATCAGATCGTGTATCTTGTAAAGCAGCTGGTAAGTTAAAACACGTTTTCCAGCGTAATTGATACCACTGAAATACAAGACAAGATGTTCATCACTTCTGCTAAAATATTTTAGAACTGTTAGACATGTTGCTAAATAATGAACAAATAAATATGGGTTATACTTAAATTCACTCTGAAGTGTTTTTGAAAACTACAGTGAACTTTAGTATTTATTTCTTTTAATGAAACTTCAGTTTCAACTTCCCTATTACTTATCTGCTAAAGGGGCTCCAGCAATCTATACAAATTATTCTTGAAGTTCTTGAATATGTTTTATGATTAATGTAAGCTACCCCTTGCATAATAGCTAGTGTCTGTTATGCTTGACTCTATGTGTTTGACATTTGTGCAATGTGGAAAAATTAAAAGCAGTAAGGATGATCTGGGATTTGGCACCAATTCCCAGAATCACATCAATTGAAATTAAGTTTTGATGGTGGTTTCTCTGGTAGCAGAAAGCGTAAAGGAGGCTGCGGTGATGTCTGGCAACATTTGTTTGGTGGGAATCTGAAGTTGGGTGGTTAATTTAGTGTCTGTGTGTTTGGTAGTAATCTGGCTTCATTCACTGTGAAAATGTTTTCATATTTAACTTATTTTATAAACAAATGTTTTGTACTTTCAATGCAATTTCTGAAGATAATACTGCAAGAAATTGTATTACTGTTAAACACAAGAAAGGTTCATTCCCATCAACGTCAATGAGTCATACTACCCTAGTATCTGACATAATATGATTATAAATTGTTCACAGGAGAAGCAATGGAGTTCATATTTTCAGCAGGGTATCATATTAGAAAAATGTCGCGTGACCTTCGCTTCACAGATGTAGTGTACCCTGACGCTGAACTTCAAGTTACTGGCCTGGATGTGGACTCAGCACTAAGTAGAGTTTACTGGAGTACAGGTAATAATTTTACTATTGAGCTGAACGTGATGATGATCTAACACACATTACTGTATTTGGTGGACATTGTGTTAACCATAACATCTTCTTCTTCTTCTTCATCTTCTAACGTCACTAATTTTTATCTGCAATAATGGAGAAGGTATAGAGCCAAATTTATAGTGACAAAAAATTCAAGGACATCTTAAAGGTGGAATTAAGTACAAATGACATAAAAAAAGAAAGTATCTATGACAAGTTTGAAATATAACAAAAAAATCTGAGAAACTAAAATCAATATAGTGAAGGATGGGAATAATATACTTTGTTTTCTACAGAATAACTTGAAAATTTAGTGTATTATTTTTGTTTACAAAATGATAAAATAAATCTTGCACACATCATAAAGAACATAATTTTATACATCATTCTGTTAGAAAGATTAGCTCCATTGTTGGCTGAAATTGCTTGGGTGATCGATGTAGGTTTTGACATACCAGGTCTTTGCTATCATCAAATATGTTAATTTGAATATGTTGGGATCTGTTTCCTTTGTGTTATAATTATTCTGGGATGTCAGTATGTAATTATTAATTTTAACCTTTGTATACAGATGTAGCAGGAACAATTTATCGGCTGTCACTGCTTGGTGGCGAAAGAGTTTATGTGACTGGTGTTGGAAGTCCAGGTGATATCGCTGTTGACTGGGTCACACAAAATGTATACTACGTTCAAAAGTCTGCTATTCAAACAATAAGAGTGTGCCACTTGGATGAGCAAAGTTATGCAATAGTGACATATGTGGAACATGGTTTTGCTGTAACCAAACTTGCCGTGGATCCCACTGCCGGGTGAGTTGTTAAAGTGCCTCTGTGTGGTGATGGTAGTGCTGTGTGACTGATATTGTAATGTCCATTGTTAAACTGTACACCTTTCTGCAGTGGAGTTAAATGTTTCATAAAATGGTACAAGTGTACAAGCAGGAGTGAATTTTATTTTACATTATTCAAAAAGAGTCGGGAAGGAATTCCTAGCAATTAAGGTTAGGTCTTTTATATCATTACTGGGGGTCATCAGTATAGATTTTGACATAATAGTTAAACTACTGTAATTGATAAGTATGGTTGTATTTGAAGGGTGGAGGGGTGAGGGTTATAAATAGTATGTTCTTAGGAGTAGATAAGAATGTTACACTACATTTATTGTGGTGGTGTGAGTTCAGAAATAACTAATGGCATGCAACCTATAGTCACTCCTCTTGCAGTCCCCATTCTTCTTCACCCTGCTTCATTCCTGGGACACATAATTCCCACACAGTACTGATTACCTTTTCTGTTCTCAGATACTGAGGTAAGAAATTAGAGTACAATGTGACAGGAGAATCAGTTTAAAAAAATCCTTGTAACTTTGGAGAAAAATTTTATGCAACAGCCTCATTGTACTTGGTATGTCCATGAAACTGGTTTGGCCAAGTATAATGTGTTTAGAAGATACCTACAGTAAACTCTGTAAAGGTTAAAATTTGTTTGATACATTTTCTATACAGAATGATTTGAAATAAGGAAATGATATATCACCACTATCTTTCAACTTTGCTTAAGAATATGCCATTAGTAAGGTATATATGTTGTTTTACTATGTAGTCTTCATTGTATATAAATGTTTCAGATTAATATGAACATGGAATACAGAAGTAGCATGCATGAAAAGCATAAAATACAGATATGATAATCAGATTTTAAAAATTTGTTCATTAGTATTTCAGTCCATATTGTAAAATGACAACCAAAAAATTCAGCTATGTGCATAGCTGCATCTGACAGCTGTAATTAATTTTTTGATAACAAAACTTTAGATTCCCCAAAACACATATAATTTATTGACCAACTGATTAACTGTGAGCTGCTTAAAGACCCTGCACCGTGGGCCAGAAGACTGCAGAATATAACCACCTAAAAGACCAGTCTAAATATATTGTTAATTTATTGGGCAAAGATATATGTACAATAATTAAAAACACAATTTTTGAGGCTAGTAAGATACAGGTCTAGAATAAACACACAAAACTATGTTCCTATCTTGTCACCAGAATGCATGGCAAAATTATGATATGAAGATAGTTAATAAAGGCATAGCTAAGTTCAAATTTCATAGGGTATGTTTGATTTTTACATTGTTCCAGATATTTGTTTTGGGCAGAGGTAAGCAACTGGGCTTTTGACAAGCCCTCAAGCGATGTGTTTCGTTCTGACCTTGCTGGCAGAAACAGAAAGCATCTATCAATAAACCATTTCATGGTGGCAAGTGGTCTAACATTCGATCTGGTGCGGAGAATATTATATGTAGCTGATCAACACAGACACACAATTGAGTGTATGGACTATGAAGGAACGGATATGCATACTGTTGTGAGTGGTGAGGTAAGACTTAGACACTAAATGGTTTTAATTTGAAATTTGATACCCACTGATCTCATCAATGACTGCTTTACAGTAACCTCTTACTGGCATAAAATATGAATTTCTTTTTATTGGTACAATATCTAGAACATGAACTTCACACATGATTTAATCGTGCTATATAAATGAACATCGCAACACACAAAATCTTTGTCTTAATTTTGTGACCTCGTAGAATATTGAGTTTATAAGTTCTGAACCATAGCTTATACTAAAAATCATTTCACAATTTGTTTTATTTCATTATGTTACCATCTTTAAAATTGATACTGATAGAATAAGTGTTGAATTGCTAATAGATGTCAAATCTGCGAGTTATAAATAACACTTGGTTTTATTGTATCCTATTGCATAATGCAATATCACTTGTGTTAGTAGGTCTATTAGCTGTAGCTGATGTGACAGTAGGCAGTGTGAATGTTTAATTGTGGCATGATTCAAAAGGCATAATAACTTTATATTTGCATATTTCCTCGTTGTTTTTCAATACATCGAAAGTCAAACATTGACATTCTCAAGACATAAATGTTGCATCTGAATTAGTTATACAATGTGTATTATGCCCTTAGAATTAACTGTTCTGAGTGATGATTTTCTTTTTGGTCTTTATTCCATTTAATTATTGGCATCTATTGACAAGTCTGCTTGGTGCCAAAACCCAGATCCTCCTCCACCACTATGAAAATGTCAAGTATCTAGAGTGTTCCGAGTGTTCTTGTATGCTGATCTTAATTTCAATGTTAGTATCCTGATTAATTTTGCCAGTTTCAAATAAAATTTATAACAGTCTAAGTTATGTTTCTTGAACCTGCCTATTTCACATCATCAGCATGTTTTCTGATATCATGACTTCATTGTAATTTCCTTACTGTTTTGCATTTGAAATTATCTTAATCTGAGTGCCTTATAATTGTTTCAGCATGTGCAAAATCCCATTGACTTGGCCCTGTTTGAAGGAACTCTTTATTGGTTGAAAGCTGGAACAGGGGAGCTAACCAGTTATAAATTATATGGACCACGTGAAAGACGAATTGGAAAACGACAACTGTATGTTTATAATACAGAACATTTCACAATCCTGCAGTCAGCCATGCAACCTACAGGTGAAGTATTTATTGAACTTACAGTATGCAACCAGATCACATGGTTAGTCATTTTCTTTTGCCTCCAGTACCTAGCTTGTCGTAAAAATAATTTGTTGCTGCTGTGTGATATATCTATTATAATTAATGAACATTGTCAAATACGTATCAGTCTGTCTGCATCTCACATAGTAATTATTTTTATTATGTTTGGGCTATTATATATTTTATGCCATTAGTATGTCTTCAACTCGAGTTGGGATGAATTGAAACTAATTGCTTGTCAGCTGTTAGTCTATTTTGACCTAGACAATTTATTACAAAGAACACAAATACCATGCTAGAAGCTATTGTGTATTAGTCCAGAAAGAAGTTTAGAGAATACTAGTTATATGTCCATCTCTCAACATCAAAATACAGGATAAAATCATAAAGCTTAAGCTACTGGGAAGATACACTGAAATTACATTTATGATTATATTAAGAGCAGGTACATACTGGAAATGCTTGTTACTATTTTGGTATAGAATCCACCTTGTGATGTCCTAACAAACATCCTAAGATCCGTAAAATGTGTATGGAAAAAACCATTTTACCAGTTTGAGCATGAAACTATGCTTTCACTATAATAAAAATGTTTCAGAATTGTGCAAAGAAAGATATTTGGATCTAAGAAAGATGGAGCAACAGACTGTTAAGATAAAATATATAACGAAAATGTTATAATTATGTCTAAGTGATATTGTTATGGTGATTAAATCATGAAGTATGCAATGCATATAAAATTTTGGATTGAAAATCTCGAGGAGACCCTACATGATGCAGCTGGGGTGTATGTAGGATATTAGCTGGACATTAGAGAAATGCTGTCAAGTTACTGGCTAAATTATAGTGATAAGGAAAGAATCTTACAGTGGGTTTCTTGAGAATGTGATGATGCAAATTTGTGGTCTTCCAAAAGTAGGAAACTTCTTGACCAACTGAATAATTAGATTCCTGAATAAGATAGTGTAATTGCGTCATATTGTGAATATTCTAACAATTATTTATTTTAATCAGTCTTATCACAATATTTAAAATTCCTTATAATTAAGATAATAAAATATCATTGATGTTCCATATCGATTGATCGATTTACATTTTGGAACATATACACAACATGTTTCAGTTTTTATAAAACCATCATCAGGTGTAAAATATCTACGAACTTAAAACTCAAATATGATTCCATTTGGTGATGTTTCATTACGTTTGTTTTTTCATTTTTTGGGCGAGGTGTTGTCTTTTCTTAAATTGTTTTTTTTAATTTTTTTAAATTTTTTAAAGGCGAGGTGTTGTCTTTTCTTAAATTTTTATCAGATGTACACTCCTACATCTTTGACCGATATGTACATCTGATAAAAATTTAAGAAAAGACAACACCTCGCCCAAAAATGAAAAAACAAACGTAATGAAACATCACCAAATGGAATCATATTTGAGTTTTAAGTTCGTAGATATTTTACACCTGATGATGGTTTTATAAAAACTGAAACATGTTGTGTATATGTTCCAAAATGTAAATCGATCAATCGATATGGAACATCAATGATATTTTATTATCTTAATTATAAGGAATTTTAAATATTGTGATAAGACTGATTAAAATAAATAATTGTTAGATTCCTGAAGATGATTCTATACTGTGTGATTAATGTAGGCAGCTATAATTTAATCTTCTTCCCAACTTTCTTCTATATCTTTTAGTTTCTTGATTTAAATTTTGAACATGCCTTTTGTTTGTGGACTTGTAATATGTCTTTAATGTCTTTTATATGTATTTAAAATTGACTTTTTTCCTGTGTAATTATATTGAAGGCATCTAGTTGTAAGTTTCCACACTGTGTAATCATATAAGTGATTACCAACAGTTCAAAGAAATTGCTGCCTCCATCTACAGGATTGAATTTATGAAACCGAGATAGGTATGTCAGAGGGTACAGGTCGAGGGACATAAGCTATGCCAATCAGAGCCAGGTATAGGGGAGAGGAGACAGAATCCTGTTTGGATCAATAGTAAACTGCAAAGGGAAAAGGCCCTGTTCAGTTTTTGAATTCCCTCAGGCTTTGAATGAGAGGATTTCATCTGTTAAGGGAGGGGAACTATCTTCCAATTCTCGTGTTGCTTTAGAGTAACATCCTATTCCAAATAAAATGTTAGAAGTTCTCTGAAATTGTATCCTTTGTTACAGTCCTAAAATGTGTGTGGAATGTTTCTCTTTGAAAGCTAAGTCTGTTTTTGTACTGAAGAAAAAAGCTAGATAAAGAAAATAGAGGATCTTACAGTTAATTCTCAATTCTATGCTTGACACGTGATTGTAGAGTTATATTTTTAATGCTCAATATTTCAGTTCCAAATCCATGTGCTGACCACTTGTGCACTGAGATGTGTGTGTTAAATGCTGGTGGAACTGCTGCCTGCTTGTGTGCTGATGGAACCAAAGTTGAAATGAAAGAACTGTGCCCATTGCCAGAGGTAAATGGTCATCTGTAAAATTGGAAAATGTTGAAGATGGAACATTAGACATCAAATTTTGCCAGTGCTTATGAAAATCTACTTATGAAACACTGAAAATATTGCATCAGACTTTTGACCATGCAGTTTCCCTTTTCTTGAAAAGGGATTGTTCGAGGCATTTGCTTCAACAGCAAATAAGTTACTGTTGTGACTAAAGATGCTGTGCTTGTTATCCAGTCAGAGCATTACTAGAATTGCTTTCACAAATTGTACCAACACTGATGAAAATTTATGGATCGAGGAAAATATCTTAAGTGGCAGTGTCTAGGTTGAGTCCACAATTTTCCTAACTGTACCATGTTTGTGAAGTCACAAGACTCACTTTTAAAAAATTAAGACAATGGTGATAATTAAAAAGTCTTACACAAGAGAGCTTTAGTAATACATAGTGTTGAAAGAACTTGATACCTTATTAATACAGTGTCTTTAGTGTTTGGATTTTAAAATTACTATTTGACATGTGCATCATGTTGCAGGAAATTGATGCATTTGGAAGCCCAGTGTTCCATAACGGTGTTAATCAAACTGACAAACAAAATGTACAGGAAACTACAGGCCATTCAAGTACTGGAGTTATTGTGGGGATTATTATTGCTGTAATTGTTTTATCATTAGGAGCATTCTACTACTATAAAAAGTTTTGGCGCAAAGGAATAAGGCCAGACTTCAGGTAAAATTTACTTATATACTTGCACATATAGTAAAACTTAGCTGCAGTGTTTCATTCCAAAAGACCTAACATACAGAACTGATAAAAGACTGGGCTTTATATGCACATTTCTGTAAAGGTTAGGTTTGTCTATTGAAAACTAATAAAAAAATAATGTGCATGCTGTTGCTCTTTTGTCCTTTCTAAAGTAGCCCCCAAAATACCATTTGGATCATTGTTGCTGGAGTCTATGAAAGTTGGCGAAGCAGCTGTGGTGTCATTTTGTGAAATGCTTTATAATTTGCCATGATAATCTTTATGCAGTGAACATTTATTGCCTATTTAAGTCATGAGAATTAAAAACAAGTTGATAAGAGGTGAGAAATGGAAGTTTGGTACACATATACATACACACACACAGATACAAAGTATCGTATTGTCATACAGTCTCTAGTTCAGTGATTCTTTTTATCAGATCATTGCAGGAGTTCTGAACTTCCTGTGTACATGTTGAGGCTAACACACTTTATAACAACTGTCTTCATTCTTGAAAAATGTATAAGGTCTTTTCTTTCAATGTGCTTAAGATATCCTGGAATCAAACTTTTAAGTCCTTCTGGAAAGTATATATTCATAACTTGGATACTAATTAATTTTCAGTTGATCAGAACCAAACTTCATTATTTGTGTAGAAGCAACTGAGCCAGTAACCATTGTCAGTTATAATTTAGATTGGCGGAGTTTTCTTTTTAACAATCTTGTAATAGTGCCACATAATCTCTATGGTTGTATTGGCATGTAATAAATGAGATAAGAAAAATGTTCGTAGGGGTTCTAAAATATGTCTTCAGACATGTGTTATCTTCTATATAACTTTCACTTTTCAGAAGTTGTATTTTATGGTTATGTACTTATGTTGTTAAATTTGTATATTTTCAAAAAAAATTTGAAGTTTTTAATTGAATTGTGAATAATATCCATTTTAAAAAAAGCTGATAAGAAAACACACATGAACACACACACTGAGGCAAGTTACGTTCTTTGATATTCTTCTACCTACTATTGTAATTGTGAGAATTTCAAATTTTTTTGAGTCGAGCATGATTTGAGGTTTTCTTGGTATTCAAGATAATGATCTTTTGGGTTTTTATGGTGTGTATACTTGGGTAGATGCCAGCACATTGAAAGAAAGTCTGTTTTCTGGGCTGAAGTGGCAATGTTTTCCAATATTCTGGCATCCACCTATGAGTATACATAGTGTCAAGACCAAAAAAAGTTCTTTTAGTTTTAAGCCAGCTTATTATAAAATAGTGAAGTGGTAAAATATACCGCACTGAATATTTTAAATTCTTGTTCAGGCTGCATTTCAAAAATCCAGCATTTGGAATGCATACTAGTGAGGAGGAAGATTTAGAACCACAAATTTTAGTTCCTGGGCAGCATCAATATACAAATCCACTTGAGAGTTCTGCTATTAGTGAGGTAAGTGCTGATATAACTAAATTGTAACCAGATGGAGAAAATAAGTTTTAACAGCTAATATTAGATTTATCAGTTGAAAAAATAAATTATATGGGCATCAGGTTTGTTGATTTCCATCTACAAGACTTAATATATGGTTTATATTGTTTAATAAATTTCAGACTACTGCCAGCTTATATATTTTGTGCGGCCACTGTACAATATTTTTGATATTGTTACCCTGCATGATGAGAAGACTAGAAGTTACATCATTGTTTTATTACCAATTCATCATACTTAAAAATATGGGGAAAATGATAATGCTGTCTCTTAGGAATAACATTTTCTGGGAACAAATTTCAGTTTTTAAGAGAATATAAAAGACATAATTTATTGATGTACTTCATGCAGCATACCTTGCCATTAGATACACTTATATTCCTCAAATCTAAAATAGTAAGTTTGTTCATAAACTTAGAACAGCTGGGCCAGTTTATATATAATTTTACTATTTGTGATTTATATAATGCATCAAAAGTGTCACAGGTCCATGCTCACCTGCAGTAGTTATATTAAACTATGAAGTGGATGTTGTACAACTGTTTTAAGCTTTAAATTCATTAGAATTGACACAGGTTAGGAGCTGGATTGAAAGGTGCTTGAAAGAATAGATTTTTGAATCTGAAAAGAATTCTTTTTTAAATTTCACCAGAATCAAAAAGGAAGAAAGGATTTGCCTTTTGAAACTATCGGGAAAGGAGTGTTTGGCCACACAAATTAAAGCCAAATGTCCATCGCTGGCAGTATTATTAAGGAAATATCTGTTAGATTTGTAACTTCTTGCCTAAGTATACATGTCTCATACCCTCTGATCTAAATTGAAAGGTTTTATTGAAAGTTAATCATGTAGTGATACTTAGCAGTCATTTTACTTGAGAGCCTGAACATTGTCCAGAAATGTTAGATAATGTGGTGGTAACTTCAGTAAATGCTTCAGATTGAAACTGGGCTCAAAGTTATTTATTTTTATGTACTTTGTTTGGTAGTTACTTATTTCAAGAATAATGATGTTTTAAATAAACTTTGATGTTTCTGGATTATTTTATGCCATATGAAGTGCACTTATTTTGTGCTGTGACTAACATACACCTTCCCAACATACGTATTTTGAGAAACCTCTTTGTCTTGAAATTTTTATTATTAATGTTCTCTTTATTTATAGCATCCTGAGAGTGAAGTATTGCTTCACTCATATGATAAAGCACAATCTTCAGTGACTGCACAAATTCCTCAGCAGCATGCAGAGTCTGTAGAATTGGAAGATGAAACAGAAGAAGTCTTTGTACTTGATAGCAAAGACATGACAACACCACTTATTTCCTGAATAATTACTCTTGGCTAAATAGCATCAGAGACTAGTAATTTTTGTAAACCAGTTAGTTCAGAGTATATTTTGATGTATATTTATAAGTTGGTATTTATATTAATTTAATGTATTTTATGCATCTGTTAGAATAGTGTATAAGGAGACTGAATTTGTCTGTGATATTTTATAAGTCTCAAAAATTATGTTATAGATAGATTTGTATAAACATGTATATGTACATATGTCTGTTCTATCATACTAGAGAAAACATTTTTGCAACTGTTTCTGATGAAGATTAATATTTTGTAAAATGCAGATATTCACTGTTGGCAATAACTGACAATATATGTTGAAAAAAAGTATTTGGAATTGCTGATCTTTACCTTGGGAACTAATCTTACTCTGGAAGAAGGAATGGTACTGGCTGCCTATTTGCATATTATGACTGTCCTGTAGTTCCACAAATCCGAGGGTTTATATCTTCAAAAATTAAAAAAAATATTTTTCCTTTCATTTATTCATGCAATACATGTGGTGTTTGGAAAGGTTATAAAGAAGTGTAAAATGTATAAATATTTGTAGTGAGTTTGAGAAGCTTTGTGTTAAAACTTTGGGATAAATAATTACCCCATTTACATTTAATTTAAAACTGTATGCTCAAGTTACTCTGTCTTGATTCAGAACAGTCCCTTGGCATTATAAAAATTTGCTTTGCATCATACCTCAAGTTTTCTGTTCTTGGCAGTGATTTTGTGGCAGCAACATCGATATGAAGGAAGTGAAAGTAGTTTCTGTAAAGCAGAATACAGGCAATGTGTAGTCAAAGCTTGGAGCTTTGTTAAATTTTCTGTGATCTTTTAACTACAGCTTGAACTAATGCCATCTTTATTTCCAAGCCCTTGATTATATGAATTCGTAAAGACAAACCCATAAAGACCTACTACTATAATAGGGCTTATTTAAGATAGAAACAATGGCTATGATAAATACTAGCCCTAGGGTGTGGCAGACTGGAGTTTGTTTGAATATGACCCACATTTAACATGTCACAGGAAATCTTTTGGTTGCATTACTATGTATTTTCAACATATTTGAATAATTGATGTAGTAGAGCCCTCTTCTGCATTCAGAAAAGCCAGTTTAATTTTTTTTATGTGAGATTCAAGATCAAGGTAATAAAATGCATACTAATTCAGCACAAATGGTTAACAACAGCATGATTAATTCTGTGACAGCATGAACATTTCTAGGAATATGCTGTTGAGATGCATTGCATCCAGTGGTTAAAGTATGAAGATATTTAATATTAAAGTTGCTCTGGAATGTGAAAGTTCTTGTTCAGTTGCTATGTGTTGATTTAAAATTGTAGAACAATTTTCAGTGTTAAGAATGTGTAAAGAAAAAGTTTCTTGTGTGTTATCCATCGTCTAATAAAATAATAAAATTGAACGATGTTTTGGAGATGGTATTTTGCTCCAGTGAGTGAGTTAGTAATCTAAGGTTGTAGGATAACATACTTCTGACATTAAGGACTTTCACAAATGTTCAATGACTACTGGATTGTTATTGCCAATGTTGATAGTGCAGAGTAATGGCATTACTGTTTTGTGTTAATTTTCAAACCAGGGTTGTGTGCAGTTAGTACTTAGTGACTTGCATACAACAATATAATATAAATGTTCATTATTTTATGGTCTCCTTTCAACCACATTATGCAGAAATGCAAGAAAGTTCTAACAATTCACTATTACTGTACCGAACATTACTTCTAAAAACTACACTGGGGTATCACATGACATACCTTCCATTTCTAAAGCCATCTCTCAGAAGCCTTGAATTCAATGAATTCAAGGCTTCTGAGATTGATATTAAGAATATGTGTAAATTTACTTCCATACCCCAATCTCCAATAGCATTTATTACTATCTTTTCTTGAGGATATGTGATACTGCTATTAAGGTTTGCAGAATAGTATAGAATAACATACAATAAATGAGCAAGAATTCCTCTTTATATGAATATGGTATTAGAAGTGAGATATTAAAGTTTTTTAAGTAACCTGATACGAATTCATTGTATAATTACTTAGGTGATGCCAAAATTAGCAAATTAATTTCTCTCCATGATTTTGTAAACTCTCTTCAAAATGAACTATGGATAATGGAATGTGATAGCCTTCTCATTGCTTAGGCCATTTCTTCTGGAATTTGTCCACTATCAGGTGCTTAATATTTCCTTGATTTTTTGTTCCTACACAAATGTCAGATGGCCAATGTCTGTCAGCAGAATGTACATTATATTCTATGATGTATATCATTGCTCTGAACTAGTCAGCCCAGATTATCCATGGATAATTTACCAAGTTAGGAGAATCATCACTATTTAATGATTAGGGCGTTTATTCCCCCTATTGATTTGTATGCAGAAGAATAGTTATTTTTGCCGGAATTAATTTTGAAAACAAAATTGTGCATGCATGCAGCTTGGAAGTTTTTTGCATTTGTAAAATTAAAAAAAAGAATATGATTTGGGTCCATAATGTTACATTCAGGGATATTCAACTCTGGCTGACATGATTACACTTTGTTAGGTTAAATTAGATCATATTAGCATAACATAGGCGGGACCCATTTTTGCCCAAGGAGTATAAATGTTGTAAGATTTGAGGTTTTCACAGTGGTGAGTATGAAGATTTCTGTCTTCTGGGTTGTTGCGCTGTGTAGTCTGGTCGATGTTAACCAACGTTTCAGAGGTCATACTGGCTCCGTCATCAGGGCGAGCGATGATAAGCGAGTATAAATGTTAATTGAATCGGAGACCGCTTCTGAATTGTTACCAGTTTAGATCTTGAAGATGTTGAAGATAAAATGTCCGTGCTAAGATATATAATAATTTGCATATCAGGGCATTAACATAATTGCGAAATTTGAAGATGTAGAGCTGAGGCACATTTGTTGCGAAAAGCAATTTGTTAATTTCAAGACATCACAGCAATCGCTCAAGTTTTTGACTTGTGACGCGTAGTGGAAGTACTCTGAGACACGAGATCATTGATTGTGGTGTTATCTGTGTTTGAGTGTAGTAATTGGTGAATATTATCCCTTATGTATGTTGAGATTTTTTAATTAATTGATCATATTATTTATTATATTCAATAAAGTTTAAAACTCTGTTCGTTTGTGTTATATAAAAAAACAACGTATTTAAAATTGTATAACTGTCCGTGGTTTAAATATAGGTTATGGACGTCCTTGATTGAAATGTCATTGATATCACTTTGTGTGTTTGTTTTAGAATAACTCATTATTTTCAGAAAAGACATTAACTCGACGTACTGCTGAATGGAATGGGTTACAAAGGGAAATTTAAACGTAAGAGGTTGAAATTATCTCTAACGTACTAGTCCCAGAGAGTTCTGAATTATGTAACCATGCATCAGTCTTCAGACCTCTATGGGACTGTTCATGGTGGAGGATTCGTAGTTCACAGAAAATATGAGTGTTTGTGTACCTTTTGTGATTTGATATATTGACTCTCCTTTAATTTTCTGTTGATGGAAGGCATTTAAATGAAGTTCTGCTACAGTGTTCACAGTCTTCATATTTGCCTATGTGAGAAGCAGAAATCTCACTAGTTTTTAGAACGCGAATGACAGAACTGCATAACTTCGCGTAAACAGTAATAAATCATGACAAACTTGTTAGAAATTTAACGTCTTCTGAAAGCCACAGTAATATAAATTATTCAGTCTATAATACTATATGAATTGAGTAGTAAAATAAATGTTAAGACATTCTTCTGAATGCAGCCCCAAGTCACTTCTCGGCCAGCAGTACACAGTGTATTTTGTACACCCTTACGGAATTATCTTCTTTACTATGGTATATTTCTTCACAAAATTCCTTTCCTTTTATAAGACTACAGCCTCTCCAATTTTTGAATTCTGATTGTAGAAAAAAAGTCTCTCACCTGCTCCCTCTTGTGTGTGTGTGTGTGTGTGTGTGTGTGTTAGGGCAGAAGTGGAGTTGGGTGCTATGTCACCTTAGAATAAGTTAATTTTTTTGCCCCATTTCATATTTTTGCATACCTCCTGTTTAGTCTGAGGGTACAGATACAGCATTGTGCCCCATTTTTTTGTGATCAACTATCTATCTACAGTTTTTGATTTATGTAACATATAACTTCAACTACATACAGAATCTGGACACTGTAGATATCAAACATGAGCATACACTAAAAAGGCCAAAGGTAAAAAGTAGCAGACTCATTCAGACAAATTCCTTTAAATTTACCTCTTATCATGAAATGTGATGTTATCTGCTTTGAACATTTGCAGTGCATACAGAATGGCATATTTTCCTCACTCTCAAGTTATTAAATATGAAGAGGCTTGTGGTGAAGATGGTGATGTATGTTCAAGTGAGAAGAGCACCATTGATAGTGATATCATTGGAACTAATGCTGCACAAAGAACTGAACAGGTGGACATATATAGATTAGTATTCATGCTATAGTTACAGATTAATATTTGTAAAGGATTAAATGTTTACAGGATTTATAGAAACTAAAATTAATATCACCCATTAAACCTCCACTTCCTCAGCCATAACAACATGTGTTCTTCTCTAGTGATTTGTGCTCTGAGTTAATTACTCCCAGCTTTTTAAAATCCTCAACATCATTCAAATGTTTATCAAACTATGTTTGATAGTTGGAGTAAATGATCATCTTTGTACCCCTTTATTAAAATGCAGTCAAGTTAAAGAAGCATTTGAATAAGGATATATTTTTTAGCACATTTATTAGACCTTCAAAGTAATATGTAAATCCAGAACATCTTTTCAATCTGTATTAATTTTTTTCATTCCTAAGTAAATTTGATCAGCAGTCTGTTCGCAGAATGTAGCTTCTACTAGTGTTAGGAAGTCTTGACAAACCTAATGACAAATTATATTTTTACAAAATATTCCTAAGAGTTGATCCTTAGGATATGGCAAATGTTATACATATCTGTGTTTTGGCTGTATCCTTGTAACCTATATTTTGTATGTCCAGCATGCTCCGGATGGATGTTGCAGCAACAGTAACCAAGCTACAGAAGAATCTGCTTCTAATACTCAGAAGTCAGACACCAACAGCCTACTTGGCAGTTATATCACTAAAGAATATGAGCTTTTGAATTTAGTTCTGAGTCACTTACCCCTTGGGGACTTAAATGCAGCTTCTCAGGTTTGCAGGTATATGCCCCATCATAACTTCAGACCTAGACCAACAATAAGATGCTAATTTTATTTATTGTTTCAATTTGTGTGTCTAGTAAATCTTGTAAATCATAATTACTCTACACTACAAGTTATATACAGTGTTGACAAGAAATTTGTTCACACTGAAGGTAAATATTAGCAAGGAAAATAAATTTTAAACTTAATTTCTGTAAGCTTTATCATAATCATTTGAAGAACTGGTGCAAAACACTGTTGCAAGATAGAATGATGTTATTATTAGTAAGGTGGGAAAGAAAAATGGTCTCAATTCCACATCATTTCATATCATAAAATATAATAATTATTTAAAAAATGTTAAAAATATCATCCATCTATCATGTTAGGTGATTAAGATATGCAATTACATGTCACTCAGTTCTGAATGCTTGATGGATAGACAAAAAATTGACACTTAAAAGAGTGTTGAGCATATAGCCATTGATGTACTTCCTGTTTTCAGAACATGGTGTTCAGCAGCAGTGTCTGTACGACGTGGCCGAACACATCCACATTGGTTACTGTGGTGTGGTGACCAACGCCAGAAAATATCAGAACAGTCATGTAGAATAAAAAGTGTGAAGTTTGCAGAGGCGGAGTTTCCATACTTGGCTTTCCGTGAGCATGTCTACAGTGAGCCATCCTTGGCCCTTATGTTTGCGTCACACACAGTGTTTGGAGCTCGTGTAATGTGCACATATAAATGCTCTTGTCCAGCTGTTACTGCAGGACAGAATAATGAAGAAGATGGTCATCAACACAGAGGTCAGTTTGTTGCCCTAAATTTCAAAATTAAACACTTATGAACAAATTTAAATTGATAAATTTATTTGTATTTTGAAGTGTACCAGTGTGGTGAAAAAAGTTCAGACTTTTGGGGGCATGGTGAAATTTGAGGTTCTCACAGTAAGTTATGATGAAGTTCATGACTACTGATGATGGAGGCAGTAATGACCTTTGAAACATCAGAAAACTTCTACCAGACTACATGGTGCAACATTCCAGAAGACAGCCATCTTCATATTCTCTGCTATGAGAACCTCTAATCTTAATCTTAATCATGTTAATAGTATGGGAGTATGTGAGAGCTGAACTACAACCAACTTGTCCACTCATCTGCCTCAGAGGGTATGGTATTGTAGGCACTTTGCCTGATCTTACTGTGACAGTGGAACTTGAGAATTCCCGAGCCTACTCAGTACTTCTGCTCCCAGACATGCCTGGAGTTACTGTTCGTACCTTTCAACTAGACACGAATCAAGTTAACAAACTTCAGAAAAGTAATGTAAGTATTTACCCATCAGAAAACTACAAATGTCTATCCAGGTTCATAGCTTTTTTGTACTTATTATTGAATCAGTGACTGAAATCTGTTTCTGTTTTATATAATTTTCGTCCTCTTCAACATGCATTTATTTATTTATAGTTTAACAACACTTTTTCTGTAGCTCAGACTGTATAGCATCCAATGAGAGGATGATGGTGAATAATGAATTGGAAAGGATGTGGAAGGAAGCATTGTCACCTAATTTAACATACTATCCTGGAATTTGCCTGGAGGGACTGAGGAAAACCACAAAACCCTAGTTTGGTTAGCCAATCTCTGGGCCATGATTTGAACCCAGGACCTCCTGAATATGAAGCAGGAGTGTTACTAATCAGATACATAAACATTCTTGGCTTGTAAATTTGTTAAAGACAGCAAGTTAAAATACTTCTTTTTGTAAGCCTCCTGTAATTGTTAAGACATTGTATAGAAATATAAGTATGTGGAAGGATAATGTTAAAATGGGTCTTAGTGCAGTAGGTGTAAATATATGACTTGGAGTGTACTGGCTCAGGATGTAGACAAATGATAGGTTTTTGTAAACATGGTGATTAACTTTAAGTTTCATATAAGTAGAGGATTTTTTGGCTGGCTGATTGTCAGCTACTTAGAGAAGACAGTACTGTGGAGTTAGGAATGTAGGTACTGATTCAGTTAGTCATTCACTTAGTCAACTGGCTAGCCAGTTAGTCAGTCAGTCAGGCTAGAAGAATATGAGTATGATTTTTATAACATGGAATGTTTGAAGTACAGAAACATTGAAGTTGGTACTTAATAATTGGATGCTTTGAGAATTTGTTTCCAAATGTTTCTTGTGAATGTTTTTTTCCCTGGGAATAATTAAGTGAATCATTTTGTGTTCCAAAGAGTTTAGCAGATTGTTTATCTTCACACTAGCAGTATAAGATATGCCATATTCTTTGTGAAGCAAGAACCAAAGCTGCAAAATGATTGTGGCTTTTATTCAATGTTTTAGCTACAGAGCTTGAATGTAGAAGTTATGGAACAACTGACAGGAATTCCAACAGGTGAATCTGTACAGTGTCTACTGCTATTTTGCCGTGAGGCTTTGTTGCTCGTACCTGCAATTATCCATCTTGTTTCTTCTCTGCAAAATAGGCAAGTGGGTATTTTATTGCATCTTTGATTTATATAATGAGGAGATGTGAACTTTATCATAAAGCTGGCTTACATTAGATAAGATATACAGTATTTATCTCATTATATGATGACCTTGGCTGTAAGGTGACCCTTTCACAATGGAATATTTTATAGTAAAATGATTTCACTGTTTGTCCAGACAAAATTCTTGTTGTAGTTCTCTGGCAGAATTTTCCTATGTTTCTGCCATGTCTTTATAATGTCCCATTGTACGCATACAGAATTCTTACATAATAAAATTTGTACTTGGTAAGTGTTGTTTGTCTTTTCACCATTGATGCATATTGCCACCAGAAATCTGTATTTCCTGGTTTCTCCATAGTTATTAGTCCTTTTGATTTACCTGATAAACATTAATTAAAATTATCATTGTATGTAGTTTGCAAGACTTAAGGAATCTTCATCAAGAGTCTGGCTTGCTTGCTTCCATGTTGTCTTTCATGATTGCATCATGCAATTTATTAACTTTTATTTAGTAGGCACAATAATTGTACATGCTTTAAGAACTAAATATTGAAACTAGTTACATCAGTTACGTAGATATGTTCAGTAATAATACATACGACACATTAAATCAGTCTTAACGTTTATCATATGGGAATTGGGGATTTAAAGTCTCATACCATGGGGCTGCCAGCTGGGGCTAATGGTGTGATGGTATACTAGTATGATGCATGGCCTGCTAGACTGCACATAAGCTGTTTTTTGTGACATTAAAGGTATAAAACTTTAGAAAATGTCTGTTATATTTATCAAATGTACATCTGCCTTAAGTCATGAAGTGCATACCATAATTTGTTTTAGTTGTGTTTATTTACAGGCAAGAAGAGACAATGGCAGTTGCAGGGGGCATAATTAATGATGTGGGTGGTTTAAATGATGGTGTCCCTATCATGGTAGGGGTGACTTTCTCTGGTGAAGGGGTGTGTGTGGCCTCAACAATCCTAGGTCGAGGTGTTGCAACAGAAATGGAAGTAGACAAAGCTATGCAAGAGGTATACACAAATCTAATACAAATTAGTCTACATGATAGTAATTATTGTTAACTTTTATTTAAAGTTTGTAATTCCATAATGCTCTCCCTGTAAGCCAAAGGAGATTAAACACAACTGTAGTTAGTCCATTGAACAGTAATAAGCACAATGTAGTAGTTGATCATATTCTTACTTATAATTACCATGGATCACATTCTTTGTTGAGAAATTAGTAGTTGCTCAGATACTCAAGTAATTAACATGATTTTTGTGGTACTCAAAGGTTTATTACTGTGTTCATGGGAGCCAGCCACTGGATCCTGTTTGAAGTTAGGCAAAATCACTTCACTTCTTCATTTGTGCTTTTTAAAGTTAATTTTCTCTGTTATCCTCTCATCTTTGCCTAAATCCTCTGTCTTTACCGTGTGTATGGGGATCATTTTCTAAGTCAGATAAATCAGTCAGTCAACATCTTCCCACCCTATTTATTTAATCTCCACTTTAATAATTCTGCAACACGTAGTTCAAGTGTTTGACATGAATAGTTTGATTGTTCCACTGGCAACATATTAGTGAGCAGTGTGCCAAGCTTTGTGGCTGTATTGAAAAGAATAATAACAGAGAAACAAATTTGATTTGAAGTCTGCAATAAATAGAAATAATATTTTGCTCATTTTAAAAATATCTGATGTTTTAGTTTTGATACCACGATTTTCATACTACACAAGAAGTGGAATAATTAAGAGACAATTCAGAAATTTGAAGTTAATATGGAATTATGAAGCTGAAGTGTAAACAGGGAGAAATTAAGGAGATCCTGTAAAGTGCATTTTGGGCCAATACAGACATTAAATTGCCTAATCTTAGAAGATGAGAAAGAAGGAAAGATGAAGAGAAATTCATGTGTATGTTTTTCCCTTTTGTGGTTAAAAATTAAAAGACAAGGTTGGAACTTGGGAAAAGTATGTGTTTGTCTGCATGTAGATCCTTAGCCAGTAGCATAAAATGTCCACTTGTTGATTTACAGTCTGAAGATTCAGATATGTCATGAGGGAAGTGATTTATATCGGAAGAATGTGCTCGATAAAGTAAAGTCCTAATTATAAAAGAATACCATATGCCTGTTTTGCAGTTGAAGGCACATACAGTGAGCAGTTATAGCAGCAGTGTTGGATTGATGTTTGCATGTGTGGGCAGAGGAAGACACCATTATCAAGGGAAACGGAATGTAGAATCAGCTGCATTCAGGAAGCATTTTCCTAAAACTCCTTTGTTAGGATATTTTGGCAATGGAGAGATAGGATTTAAACTCCTACCAGGTAATGTAAAATATATTAGTTCAACATATTTATGTGAAACGTAACAGTTAAATAACTAGTCTGATGTGAGTTGTGGTCTTCTGGGTTGTGACGGTGTATATCGGAGGATTATGGTGCCTCCATCTTTGAGGCAGAATTTTATGAAGGTGGAAGTGTTACATTCCTCCAATTTTTTTTTTAATGACCAACAATTTTAAACAGTTTCATATCCCAGAAGAACAGAACCCACATTTTCACCACCACAAAAACCTCAAATTTATTAAATTAGACATGTTTTTATGTAGCAGTTGGGAATACTGATGAGTTGTCATGTGTGGATCATACAGCTACATGGTT